ATGTATGTATGTATGTATGTATGTACATATTTATTTACCCACCCTCCCTAGCGGCTGCATTTGAACAATGATGAAGCTGATGTACCCAGACTGATTGAGGGAATGAAGAAAGATTTGCAGGAGGATTGGAATCACACAGAGAAGGCTGGTAAGGAGAGCAGCTGGGAGGAGAGGAAAGGCAATTCTCACAGCAGCTGGAGACCAACCATTACTCTGAGGGGAGGGTAAAGGAAAAGGCAAAGAGAGTGCTGAAAGAAATAAAGGAATGGAAAAGGATTAAAAGGACCAAGTCAGACTCCCATAGGAGAGAGAAAGGCTTCCCAAAGCCACAGCAGTGATGGCAGAACAGGCTGCAGCACTGAGTAAAGATTGGCCTTTAAGACAACCTTTCCCTCCACTGGTACATGTGGACTCTTTTTTTTTCCTCTGATAGGTCTGTTTAGTTCCTTGTTGCTTTAAATAACTGTATAGCAATTTCATGTAATTCTTTTTATTCACTATTGCTCTTATACTATTTTTATCTGTGTAGTGCATGTTTAGTTCCCCATCATCAGGAATAAAAACGGGATCTGGGAACACTGTAAGGAAACAAAATACTAAAGAAGGTCAATCAACTGGAGGCACTACAAATTAACCTACCCTTAAGCATAATCAGAATTAACCTTTAAAACATCTTTAGAAGAGGTTATTATGTCTCCTTGCTCTGGTTCTTTGGAAAAAACCCCATAACTCCATCTTTGTTATTCCCATCACTGGGCAGAACATACTGGTCAACAATTTTAGAAGTGAAGGGAGATTGCTTCATCTTTCTCTGAGTCTCAAATGAATGGACCTTTGATTAGCATTTGGTGCTTTTATAATCAGTCGTTCCAGTTGAGACAAATCTATCTCAGGAGGCAAAATTCCCCTGCTTTTCATTATCAATCTAGAAGAGTTAGCTACTTCTAGATGTGAGCTGTGTTCACTACCAATCCTATAACGTACCACCCCATACACGTGAACTGCTTAAAGTGCTCTTGAAATAAAATATTCACAGCAAGCTGGCCCTGAGTGGCAACAGGGGAAGAACAAGAAAGGAACTAGCAGTCCAAGAAACCACGTTTCTTATATTTACTAACCATGTCTCAAAGATAGTACTGTACAGCTGGCATGCTGAACTAGTAGGAAGGGATAAATAATAATGTCACCCGGATGGCTCTTCACCCAGGCTTTGGGCTACAGCAGAAGTGAGTCCAGCAAATGTAAGAGTATGAAAAGTTTATGTGATGTTGTGGTGCCGTGGTTGAGATACATGGTGCTGTTGTGGGATTTGGTCAGTTTTATTTATTCTGTTTTTCATTAATATTGTTGTGAGTTGCCTAGGACTGCCTTGCATAAGATAGGGGGCCATATAAGTTTCTAAGTAAAATAAATAACATAACATGTGAACGAGATACCTACTCACTATTTAGACTGATTGCCCATCACTACTGTACCTGCAACAAATAGTTTGACATCATGTAGTGAACACAACTTCTTCACTTCAAGCCTTCCAAGAAACCAGTTATGCTGATTTCCAGGTACACAATTCCTACATTTCAGAAGGAAATGTTTGATAAGGAAATGCAGCTCAAGACTGGGTTGCAGTTTGGGCCCAGAAGTGAGTGGCTTGGCTGAAGAACAATGGCCTCAATTTACTCCGGATCTCAAAAATATACTTGTGGGTAAAAGAACCCAAACCAGGTTCCGCAGGATCCCAGCCCCAGAGACAGCATTCCACTGGAAGTGACAAGAAAGGTTACCTGCTTCACCACAGTAACGGTTCCTGGGGCCATGGCAACCACAGAAGCAACAGCAGCACCATCGTGGGGCTCTGAACCCAGCTCTATGATTTGCTGAAGGATGTTGACAGCTGTGGTGGCATCAAGTCTTCCTCCTGATTGGGAACAAGCATTAACACTGCTATGATGATGCAAACTTAATGATATACCTCCCGCCAAAGCTCATTCCCTTTTCTCACCTTTCTGCACTGCACACTCTACACCCCCACTCAATACACTCTGCAGAAAATCCCTCCTGTCCTCTGATTTAAATATCTCACCACCCTCCTTTCTCACTTATTTCCTCTTACTTGGGGGCTTTGTGGCACTTTATTCCAATTTTCCCCCAGGAGCTTGTGCAAATTTCCCCTCTCACTTTATTTCCTCTTCAATATTAGTTGAATCTTGATGCTGTCTTTTCCACTTGTCATCTTCCAAAGGTGTTAAATGACAGTTCCAATCACCTCCAAGCTACTATGGCACTAGATTAAGAATGTTAAGAAAAGCCCTGCTGGATCCAAGTAAAGACCCGTCTAGTCTAGCATTCTGCTCCATAATGATCAACCAGATGTCACTGGGAGGCCCCAAACACTAGCAGGAAGCCAAGAGGCTGACTTGCAAAAGGCAATTCTAGTGCTCCTTTAAAAAGCCTGAAGCCATTCAGTGACTGGGAAGGATGCAGAATGGGTAGTTCCATCCCTCAGCAAGCATTTCCCTTTTTCCAAACTGCTCCAGACCTGATTTTAAAAAGCCAAGGAGCAGACACCTGCTAGATCTCAGGTGTATGCTCCTGCTGCACTAACATAAGGCAGATGCAAGCACTGAAAGGCGTCAAGGAACCCTGAAATGTTATACGTGACTTCAAGCATAATATTTAGGCATCGTTTTTCAAAGTATTCATTTGGCCTTAAGGAGAGCATTTTACCATTCTCTGAGGTATATCTTAGGTCCTGTAGAGCAGCAACAGCAGCCTGAGTTCCTTGCAGGTCTTCAGCTTCGGTGATATGAAGGTATTGTGTAGAGGTTTCTTCAGAAATTTCTGTAGTTTGCTGCAGAACAGAATGAAAAGAAAAAGAAATCGACAAGCACATCACAGAGTTGCCAAAATACCTACTTACAATTCAGACTTAAGTATATACCTCTGAATGGCATAACTTCACACAATGGCCCTTGACAATGAAACAAGTTAGAATCATTTGATTTACGAAGGAAGCAAAGATTCAGCAACAAAAAACTTTTTTTTTTTTTACAGAAAAATAATCTGGAAATGACTTGTCAAGGTAATGTGCAAACAAGTTCCACAACTGGAAGACTGTTATCAAATAAGTCCTCTCTCTCATCCTTACCAATCTAATTAATTTTACTAGTGGGTGCATAAAGATATGTGCAAGGCCATAAAAAAACAGCAGGATTATAGGCATGAAATCCTATTTGATTAAAATAATAATAATAATCAAAATCCTTTTGATTAGAAGAAAACTATAACATACCACATTACTTTCAATCCAGACTTTGCCTGAAAATACCAACAATTGAGGTTCTAATTTTTAAGTTAACAAGAGTCATTTAGATTTCTATTTATCTTCACAGTAAAGCAGTTCTTTTTGTTCATTATTTTCCAAGGGGGAAATTGAAGCTGCAGTCCTGTGTACCCATTCTTAGGAATAATCCCCATAGAATGCAAGGGGCTTCTGTCTAAATAAATATCCATAAGAAGACTGCCTTGCACAACATTACTGTACTACATAATTAATATATAACACATTTCCAAGGCCTTTTTAAGAATCCAAGATTCAGCTGTTTTGTCAATCAAGGCTCCAATTTAATATTTTACTATAGGCACATTAATTTGTACATTGAGTTTGGATATAAATGCATTTCCTGCTTCCATTTTACCTCTGTTCCCACTATAATTGGGGAATGCTCCCCAAACTGATGCTCCACTATGATTGATATTCTGCCCTCTCCGTGGGGTTTGTATATTTTAAAATTTTTGATAATGTTTTCATTTTAATAATAATTTCTAATCTTTTTATAATGACTGTTTATTTGTTATTTTATTTAACTGTGTGCTGCCCAGAGTCGCTTTGTGTGAGATGGGCGGCTGTATAAATGTGACATAAATAAATAACTACTCAAATAAAGCTTGAAGGTCTAGTTTAAAGGGTCGAAAACCTAAAGAAACTTCCCATAAATTCATCTGTATAGTGCTAATCACTGCATAAGGACACTGAGAGGCAGCGATTCACAAAAGCCACCATGAATAAAAAATAATGTTCTACATTTGGGTCAACTGCCACTAAGAATGGAACTTATTGGGGTGAACACATTGAATGGAATATAATGGATTCAAAAGGGACATTCTGACAAGGAGAACTTTAGAGTAGTGGATTTTATTTTATTTTAGACTAGAGGATTTTATGCTATTATGGCCTGCCTTTAAAGGTACATATATCCCGCTTCCCAAATTGGTTAGATTTGGTTAAATTCTATAAAAGGAGATCAAATGTTTCATTTACCGACAGTCATGTTATCCAAATGCAGACGAGGATAAACTTAACCCAGAGAAGGCAATATCAATTTCTTGGGGTGGGTACGTGGGTGCATCACATAGAAGACTCTGCCCCTTGTTCTGAGCAACCAAACCACTTTCCACAATGGACAGAAGGATTCTGATCTGGATGTCTGGACAGATACTTATTTGATCCATAATACTCTGAACCCAGACTGTTTGAAGCACCTTACAGTGCTTAGAATCAACTGAGCCCAGAAAGGCAACTGGTACATAACAGGTAATCAAAAGACCTGCCTCTTATATGTCTTCTTACTGGTGTATTTTGCGCCAAAGAAAACATCTAATCCTCTTTCAAGAGTAGTCCCCGAAGACTATACCTATCCAACCTGAATTCAGTATCCCAGTGAAGTGAGAGCTACCTTCTTCAGATAAGAAGGCACTTGGCAGAACTGAAAGTGTAGGTTCTGGCTTAGGTTTCAGCTTGAAAAGAGAAATGCACTGGCTGATGTTTTTTAGTTGTGATGGAATGTAGCTACGCATTCTTGCTATTGCCACCTATTTCTTAGGTATAACTTCAACCCGAAATGAGGCTTCATTATAAAGAAATAAATGACATTGAACAATTCATTTGCACTCGATAACTCTACCTATATAACAGCATAGAAGCAGTACTTTTTTTTTTCATTTTATAGGACAACGTTATTCCAATTTTCCCTTGATTCCCATAACATTTGGGGAAAAGGCAATATTTTAGAACAGATGTTACTACTTGAATTTACCTCCCACTTGGCTTCTCCATCATACTCCATTAATTTAAGTCCATGTTTGTTTTTGAGGTGTCTGTTGAATTCCCATTTTGTCCCGTACACAAAGTTGCATACAGGACACTTGATACCACCTGGGAGAGAGGACAAAAATAAAAAGAGCAAGTCACATATTTGGACCCTGATCAGATATTAGAATCCATGCAGAGATATCTATATACTACTAAAACTCTTGTGTCTGTTTGTCACCTTCAACTGGATGAAATGGTGCATCATAGGGCAACAATTTTTGGACCAAGGTAAATGGGCTGACTTAGAGAATGCATCCAAAATCTGGGACCCATTACTCCTGTGGGATTGAAATTTGGAAAAGTTGTGGCCACTTCAGCACTGCTGCGTTGCTGCAGTCAGCCGTGGTCATGTGATCATCATTTCCAACCCTCCCTGACAGCTTACCACAAGTCAATGGGGAAGCCGGCAGGAAGCGTAAACCTGATTGTGATTGCCGATGCTCCCTGCCAGCTTCCCACAAGCAAGGTCAGCGGGGAAGCAGGCAGGAAATTGCAAGTCCAAGGCCAGCAGGCAGGTAAGTGACTGCTGCCAGATGGGGAAGGGAGTAAGGGGGTGTAGGAGAGGTGCAGTGAGGATTGGGGAGGGTGTGCGGGGACAGGCAAGAGGTGTGGTGTGGCTCAGGGAGGGTGTACAAGAGTGCAAGTGGATGCTTGAGAGGTGTGGCAAGCGTCAGGGAGGGTGTGCAAGGGTGCAGTCCAGGTTGGGGCAGGTACGTGGGGATGTGCAAGTGGCTGGTGCAGCATGAGCACAGAGGGACTGGGGGAGGGTGCGCAGGTGGGGGAGACTTACCTGAGCAACTTGTGACCTTCTCTGCTGGCTTCCTCACTTTCTCCCTGCCAGCTTCCCACAAGCAAAGTCAGTGGGGAAGCAGGCAGGAAGTCAGAAATTACTTCCATTCCTGCTGCTTTTTTGCCCACCCGTGGTCATTTTGTTGATTTGTTTAGGTATCTGAACAATGACCCAACTGAAACAATGACCCAATGGGTCACGTGTTGTCTAGTTAAATAATAAAAACATACTATAAACATACCAGGGTACAAATAAAGTTCATTTCTTCATTAGGTCCTAACCTAGGTTACCCCACTAACCTTTTCACAGGTTCTATATTTCTCTCTTCCCCATACTATATAGCCTTTTACTATTTCATAGAGGGATTTTAGGCAAATGGTAGCAAACTGATGGTTGTGTAACTATATTTCAGATGAATATTGCTTACTTGTATGAACATGCCAAGAATACACAGGTAGTCCTCACTTAACAACCACAATTGGGACCGGAAACTTGCTTGCTAAGCAACACGGTCATTAAACAAAACATCTGTGCTGTGGTGGACTTACGACTTCACTCCCATTGTGGTCATTAAGCGAATTGCCCACAGTCATTAAGTGAGACATCACATGACTGCAACTTGCGACTAACTGCTGGCTTCTTCATTGACTTTGCTTATCAGAAGCCTGCTGTGAAGCAAGCAAATGACGATCACGTGACCGTGGGAGGCTGGAATGGTTGTAAACACCCACCAGTTGCAAAGTGCCTGAACCTCAATCATGTGACCGTGGGGATGCTGTGATGGTCATAAGTATGAGGATCAGTTGTAAAGGTACTTTTTCAGTGCCATCGTAACTTCAAAGTTAGGTGAGGACTACCTGTATATTAATGAAATACATATTACCTACATCTATTTTTTAAAGTCTCTAGCACTTTGGCCCTTAAACTGGGGGTGGGGGGGAAGTGTCATTAGGGATAACCTTGGGATAATGGAGTAATTTGTAAGTACTTTTTTGTCACTTGAAGATCCAATGCCAATATGCCTATGTAAAACAAAAGTCTGTGGTTTGGGGTTTTTCTGGGGGGGGGGGTAATGGCATTATTTGAGACTGGGAGAAGGGGTAATAGGGTCTAAGAACCATGGCTCTAACAGAACCTAGACATGAGACAAAACTAATCATTACCAATTTCCCCTGTGAATAGTAATGTATTTTTATCAGGTTTTAGTTGCTTATATTTTATATGGTTAAGTTTTTGGACTAGAACTGGGGAGACCCAGGTTCACCCTGAGCTATGAGAGCTATCAGTTACTCTCTGATCAGCCCAACTCACAGGACTGATGTTGCAGGGGAAAAATGGAGGAGGGAATCCACCTTTTATTCCTGGATATATATCTGACATATATATCAATAGATATTTTATTGTTGGTTGCTTTGATAGCCCTGTCAGACAGAAAATAAAGGGGTGGTGATAATAGGAATGGCCTATCCCAAAAAGTTTGCCAATTTTACTGTGGGATTATCCTGAAATTGAACAGGGAAACAGCAGTGTACATACAGCAGAAGTGGCAAGGAAAGAAATTAGAATGGTAGGTGAAAAGTTACCTGTTTTAATTGGTCTTACTGCAAGAGACTAGTGGAAAAACACATTTATAGCAGGTACTGTTCAATGTTAAAGGCAAAAATCCAGGACAATGAACCAAACATTTTTACTGGATCCTTGCAGGGGGCGGGGAGCCAGAATAGACCTGAACATGGGAATTAATCACTGCTTTCTTTTTCTGCTAATAAGTGGCCTTTAGGAAAGACCAATAATGGCATCAGATAGGCATGGACCTGAGAGGCAGACTACTACCCCAATAGTTGCCACTTCCGGAAACGCAGAAGGCTGTCCCTGGGGCAAAGCCTTTTTAAATGTCCAAGCCACATAATGAAAATTGGCTACAGTCACAACAGCTCCAACAGCAGTAGTTTAATGGCCAACCCACAATGTTCAGCCAGCTTTTCAGAAGATGGAATTCCATCAACAAAGTGGTTGGTAAATTGGAATGAATTACTTTTGCTAATTCATTTGGGAAAATTAAAAGAAAATTAAGTTCTTTGATTATCCTTCAAGGATTTTCTAAGACCCCACCATTACTACCTTTAAACATATTAGATGAGGCAGCTCCCTGACTTTATCCTAAGCTAGAGTTGCTTCTCTATTAAATGCCTTAATGCGTGACTCTCAGTTCTGGAGCAGCATAGGACAAAGACATTATCAGTTACAAACCCCAAACTGAAATATTCATTCCATATTCCCCTCTTAATAAAAACTCAATTAGAAGAAAGACCTTCCCTTATTTCTTTTAAATTAAAATTACTGCAACAATAACACTCTGTTAATTAAAATAGCCACCTTTGTCACTGTGACTTTAATTAAGGAACAACAAATGAAAGTATGCAATTGAGCCAGTAGCATAAAACTGCACGGCAGTTAATTGACATCGCAGCTAAAGAAAATTAATTTCTCTCCAATTCATTAACTACTGTGGCAATATAGAGGCAAAAGGTCACTGAATGGCATACCTTATCTGCTTTTGACACCAGCGTACACATAAAATTGAAGTATTTCATATTTCTGAGACAGACAGCCCACTTTTCTTCCACCCTCCCCCCTAAAAATGGTCCTTTGGAAATGATTTAATTTGTATTTTGCAGGATTGACTGAAACTGTATTCTGAGGATTAATGCAGGGAGGGTTCCACGAACAAAACCTTGTCTTATGAATGCTTGCCCTGATTAGCAGCTCTTACAATAAATCTCCGTATGGCTGCTTAAATTTGGGAAGAGGGGAATACGAAGGTGGCCAGAGAGACCCCTGATAACAATACAATATTTGTGCCTTTATCTGAACTGTAACTTAAACCCAAGAGAGTTTATGAGTCTGCTACATGGAGCAGCTCAATCTTCAACTGAGAGTCAGAAACTGACTGAGTTTCACTGTACAAACTTATCTCCACATTTCGACCAATATTCTGGCCACAGGGTTTTCTTTCGGGGGCAAGCAAAAGACAAGTTGGGAGATTTTTAAGGAGACTAGAGTGCCCTTTCCCAGTTTATCGTATCTACTCTATCAAAATGTGCTCCTTTTCCATTTAAATCTCAACCTCTAAAACAACTGCCTCTTACCAGTAAACCAACATTGATTGGCATATGACACAGAAGCACAGCGTAGATACATCCCCAGCTACACTGGAAATTTCTCCCCTCGCCCTGCCCAAATGTAAGTACTGATGAAGTTGATCAAGGAACACTTATTTATATCCCTCTAGACCAGTTGTTCTCAAAGTGTGGTCTGGAGACCCCTGGGGCTCCCCAAGACCCTTTTGGGGGGGTCTGCGAAGTCAAATAAATAAATATTTTAACCTTTCTCAGTTTTAATTTCTAATATGGTACACTGCTCTAGACTGTTGCAGGCAAGGGTTATTCTGTTTCTTGACTTGATACTGGATTGACTTGATACTGGATTGACTTGATACTGGATATTCTGTTTCTTGATTTGATACTGGATTCTTGACTTGCACGGAATATCTCAACCTTCCATGTGACTAATGAATTTGGCCCCTGCCTTTGCCTTGAGGGAACTGTCTTACACTTAATTAGCCCATTGGCCCAACTTGTCTAGACCAGTTGACTAGGAAAGAACAGCCCTATGAGATCAAACCAAAAAGCCATTTAAAGCAATTCCTCTTTCCTGCATGGCCAACCTCATGGATGGAGGAAGGGGCACAGGACAGAAATATCACTCTCTTACTGATATTCCTAGGTCCGCTGCCTCTGATGTTAGAGGCATCACATCAGGATCATAACTAATAGACAGTAGCTGGATGGGTTCATATATTACACTAATCCATGATTTCTTTAACCAAGGATTGTTGAGTATACCATCATTGGCTCTACACAACATATTAAACCACAGTAGTTTGACTCGCACAACATGCTTAGCCATAATGAATACAGGTGTGCTATTTTTATTTATTATATTTTATTTTACTGGGCTTATAGCGCTACTTCAGTTGTTGCTGACTCTGAGCAGCATATCCATACTAAGGTTAAGAAAGAATACGTTAGCAATCAACATAACAAATAACAGCATTCCCAGTGCACCAGGGGACCATTAAAATTCAATTAAAAAACCATTCTACTGCAAAACGAAACAGCTTCGGCACAGATCCACCCCAAGGCCTGCTGAAAGAGCCAGGGTTTGATGGCTTTCCTGAATCCCAGCAGGGCTGGGACCAGGAGGACTCCAGAGGGAAAGCTGTTCCAAAGAAGGGGGGCATCGTCAATATGTCTATCATGATATCCCATTCAATCAGAACTTTAAAAACTCTGGCTTAATCAGAAAAGAGCACTGTACACTGTACACACTGTTTGTTCCTACTTGACTTCTCCTGCAGGTAAGAAGGAATAAGCGAGACACACTCCTCCACCCCAGTGTTCTCAAAAGTGGAACTGTAACCAAGTCCCAAGATGGATCGTGTACTCCTTAGCCCTGAGCTACCTCCTTTCCTAGGACATACTGTAACAAACATATCCATCTTTATGTTATCACAAACTTTTGTATTCTCAGCCATGGTCAGGACTAAATAGCTTCCCATATATTTTATGCTAATCTGTCCTATTCAAATTTTTGTCACACTGGAAGGGAAAACTCAGTGCAGATTCTTTAATGCATTATGCCACCATTTCCATGCTGCTGAAACATAGGTCCGTGCGTCTTATAGACATGAATTCTTTGCAAAAAAAAAAAAAAGGTAAAGAAAAAGAATAATTTGGCAATGCTTTAAAATGTCATGCTTGGGAAAATTATGTTTTATTCATTACCTAGAGCTGCAGCATTATTCTGGCATCTATTCTAGTGTAACAAAACGGGGAAAATTTTAAATCCTCATGAGCGGCTTTGAAATGGGGGAAGAAAGTTTTACATAACGTCATTCAACATTGGAAGATAACTTGGAAACAATCAGAAATAAAATAAGAAAGTCATCTCACTCAACCAGCTCAGCTTTCTAAAATACACCACAGTCTAAATTGGGGACTTTTATTTCCCCACTCGCAGGAGTGTTACATCCTTTTGTGATGTGCTGGACTTTTAAAATCCATTTCGTACCCGCCAAGCTACTTGATTGTACTGCCAGATTGCCAAACTGCACAGCAGCAGAGTGTCCCCTGGGAGATGAAAGACAATCTCCTGAGAGATTACATATGAATACTCTACAGTTCTCCAAAGCCTTTCTAAAAAAAAACAACAAAAAACTTATTTTAAGGTCCAAAAAAGAAATATTCCTTTTTAATTTGCCACCTGCCTGGCCAATCTTCTGGTGCTCAATTTACTATTTGGAAGCAGGTCCAGCTAATTTCACATCTCTAACAAATAAATATATGTTGGAATGAAGTGCAAAGTGAATGTGCCCTTAGGGAGTTTCACAGAAAGAGTAACTAACCAGGATTCCACCTCTAGGTCAGATTCATAGGGACCTGGTCAGTAATCCTTGTAATGAATTGCATGTCAGTCTTACTCAATCAGATGCACTTTAGGCAGACTGCTTTGCTTGATAGGAATGACCTCTGCCCCTGTGCAGCAGACGGCTGAAGACCAGTGAAGCAGCTGCTTTAATAGGATTTGCTGACTCCACTGCAGTGGTGAAAGGCAAGGCACCACTTCACTTTGCAGAGATGTATCAAAGGGGCGCTGCATGGAAGGGATGATTGAAGCAAAATGTCTCTCTGAGGTTTTGCACAACCCCAAAACATTTCTCAAAGCAAAGCTTACCAGATGGTGAGATTGGAAGGGCAGAGAT